CCAAGCATACACTTGTGCCCATATGCATATACCAAGTCAGATGCATTTGGCATTGATCTCAGATACAACTCCAGAAGCACTCTGTACAAATATACCAGATATACTCAGACATGCAGGAGTAGGGGTGTTATCTCTCCGGATAGCCCCAAAACTGGGTAAACTAGCGCGTGCTACTCGCATACCCGCTCCCGGTCCTATCAGCGGCAGTCTTACCCTCACACTAAGCCCTTGTGGCATCTGTCGACTCGCAAGCCCCCCATGAGAATACCACGACAGTTGGCGCCCACCGTGGTGCGGTACTATGCTACCGCGCTGCTGCTGGTTTCGCAGTCCGGGCAGGACCATCTTTGTCATCTCCGCCACGACGTCGCCTTCGTCTCTCCAGTAGCGCTCGGGGGCTCGACATCGACACGCCCCCGGAGCGGCCGCGAGGGGCGGCGCGTCCTTGCTGCCGACGTCGCCATCGCGACGTTGCCACCTCTCCGGCGCCGGTCGAGGGCTCGACATTAGCACGCCCTCGGCGCGTCCGTGAGGGGTGGTGCGCCTTCGTCATCACCACCGCAACGCCGGCGGTCCGTTTGCGCGCGCCGCACGCGGGGCCTTGCTTTGGTCGGCCGTGTCCGTCCACATGCCGCTCACGTCTGCTCCCCTCCGCGTTGTGCCTTGCTCCGCCGAAGCATGCATTTTCCACTCCATACCATCTACAAGCTAGCTAGATGCTAGTCAACAATGGTCAAACTGTAGCTATACACAAGCCAGATAACGCTTGCACACTGCTCATACACTACCTGGGCACTGCCCGTATGCTACCCAGTCAACGCGTCGTTTGTTGCTATCACCTGCGTCCGGCCTCCGCCCGCTGCTACCGCTTCCATGCTGCCCGCTCTTGTGCATGTCCGGCCGCCGCACTCCGCCCTACCGAGTCTTCGCGGCCGCCCTCGGCCTCGTGGCGCAGCTCCACCCCAGCGCGTGGCTCCGCCCGCGTTCGGCCTCCCTTGCTCGTCTCTGGGCTGCTTTTCCCCCGGCTGCCCATACGCTGCTCCACCACCATGGTCGTGGCTACCTCAACGCCATGGCCCTGAGCGCCCTTCTCGCTCTCCGCCTCATCGTGCTGCTGCAGTCCATGGCGTTCTTATCCTCCTGCCGCCCCATCTCGCTGCTCGTCTCCATCCACGCCCGCCTGTCCGAGCTCCCTCCTGCGCTGCTCCGGCCATCGTGGCCGCGCCCCATCCGTCCAGCTCTTCCTACCGAGCCTGGCGCCGCGCTCGCTGCCTCCTCCGCCCGCGCCTCCTCGGCCGAGCCCGCGGCCAGCAGCGCCGCCCTCCCTCCACTGTAGCTCGGCCGCAGCTTGCCCCGTTGTCAGCGGCCGCGCCGCGCTGCTCCATCCTCCACGCACGCACGTGGCTCCGCCCGCTCCGGCCCAGCGCCTTGCAGTCCGCCCTCTGCGTCACCTACTCCGCTTTGTCCCGCGCGCGTCGGCTCCACCTCCTGCGTGCCCGCTCCGCCGCGTCCCTGCATCGTCCCGCGGCGCCTCCGCCTGCGACGCCCGGCCCTGCCCCATGGCCGGCTTCGTTGGCCCAAACTGCGCCTACAGCTGCACGCCCGCGCCGGATTCCCCATAACCCGGCGTGCCAGCTTCGCCCGCGCCGGATTCCCCGCAACCCGGCGTGCCGGCTTCGCCTGCGCCGGATTCCCTGCAACCCGACCTGCCGGCTTCCCCGCAACCCGGCCTGCCGACTTCGTCCGCGCCGGCTTCCCCGGGGACCCGGCCGCTTGCCGGCTCCTCCCGCCAACCCGGCGACCCGGACGCTTGCCGGCTCCGCGCGCGCTCGGGCTGCGGCGTCCGGCCGGCGCCTACCTCTGGCCTCGCCCGTGCTCCCGGGCCGCCCATGGTCGGCCGCTGGCTTGCCGGTCCCCGCAGCTCCGGTCTTAGCTCTCCCAGGCCGGCTGCCCCGCGCTGTGACAGAAAGAAAAGTAAGATATGCTGGCTGGAAAAAGAAAAAGAACCCGGCTGGTCAGGCCGGATGTGTAAAAAAAAGAAAGAGAGAGAAAGGAGAGAGATGTGCGTTCCACTGCACGCGGCCAGCTAGAATTGGCGTCCCAATGTCAGATGTGCGTCCGACTGCCCTTAAAAATTGTGTCTAACTGCCAGATGTGTGTTCGACCACCTGCTGTAAAGAAGGTGTTGGCCGCCTGCCGGCTGCAAAGAGTCCGGCTGCTGAGTCGGAATTCGGCTGTCCAGTCAGATGAAAAAGAAATGTCCGTCTAGTTGAGCCCACAGCCGGACAAACAGAAAAAAAGAATCAACTTCAACAAAGAAGACAAAGTAGTTGCCGGAAGATCCGGCCCGACTGCTCATCAGTCGGCCCAGATCTCGGGGGCTACACCCAGCGGGTGCGCTGACGCGCCCCTGTGAAGAAGAAGACAAAGTACTTGCCGGGAGATCCGGCCCGACTACTCAGCAGTCGGGCCGAATCTCGGGGGCTACACCCAGCGGATGCGCTGGCGCGCCTCGCGAATATTACAGACAAGAGAAGAGTTTTGTCCGGTTGCCAGCAGCCGGCAGAAGAGAAAAAGAAGAAAAAGGGCGTTGCAAGACGCCTCGCCGCCTGGCTGGTCGAGCCTGACCGGCCGGGACCCCCCCTTCGAGCACCCGGGGACTCGAAGGCTACACCCGGCGGGTGCGCCGACGCACTCCGCGAGCGCCGAGCCGCGCCGGCTGTCTTCGACGATCGTGACTACACACAAATCAATGTGAGCCCTTCACCCTCATATTTTTGCACTACGCAAGCACGGATAACCCCGAGCGATGCTCGGGGAACTATCTCCGCTTTTTCACAGACGCTTAGTACCGTGCGCGGTACCAAAGGCTCACTCTTAGTCACAGACCGCAGAGCGGCTGTCCGGCCAGCAAGGGTGAACGCTGGAGGCCACCCACACGAAAAACGTCCGGGAAGAAAAACACTTCGAGCGACCCGACCGTTTCCTTTATGAGTATTTGCTCTGTTAAATTTGCTCCCAGATTCTAAGTACTGTACACTCCACTTCACGGCCCACTCTCAGCCACAGACCACAGAGCGGCTGTCCGGCGAGCAAGAGCACAAGCCAAAAAGCGGAGGGAACATGAAAAAGATTGAAGGCGGCTCAGACGAAACCGCGTCGGCACCCTCCGCATAAAACTTGCAATGCTAAAAGCAAACATTTGATATATCTGCGTGGACTAACTTTGTCTTTTTCATGATCATTTCCATGAACACTCGCCAAAAAAACCTCCGCCCAACTTTGCCAAGTTGCCTGAAGGCTTGGGGGCTACTGTCGGAGTAATTGGACATGAATACCCCAAAGACGGTGAGACGATATTTCAAGACATCGGGGCTAGCAAAGCCCCTTAGTCCGACTGCCCGGCCGCTTCCGCCGGCTCCCCGTCCAACTGCTCTGCCCGGCCGGCTGCCGACTGCTCTGCCCAGCCAGCTGCCGACTGCGCCAACCAGCCGGCTGCCGACTGCAACCCGACTCGACATCGATAAGACACCGACAAGACATCGACAAGACAGCCACACCGCGGCCATACCTGGCCACTATTGCTGCATTGACATACACTATTCATCCATCACCATCAACATTGTGCAGTACCATCAATAGTGTAACTTGTCCCCTGGCACTAGTATATAAAGTGATCCAGGGGAGCAAGCCATCGGGCCATGGCCACAAGGCCTCACACAGGCTAGCAAGCTAACTAGCTATCCATCCGTCCATCCATCCAGGGGAGTCACCCTCTCATCGCATGCATGCTAGCTAGCAAGATAGCTAGCTAGCTCACACATACATCCATTCATCCATTCACCCACGACCAAGCATACACTTGTGCCCATATGCATATACCAAGTCAGATGCACTTGGCACTGATCTCAGATACAGCTCCAGGAGCACTCTGTACAGATATACCAGATATACTCAGACATGCAGAAGTAGGGGTGTTATCTCTCCGGAGAGCCCCAAACCCGCTCCCGGTCCTATCAGCAGCAGTCTTACCCTCACACTAAGCCCTTGTGGCATCTGTCGACTCGCAAGCCCCCCGTGAGAATACCACGACATGCCACGAATATTTTTGCATTCTTCTATGCTCATGTAAATACTCTCTACACACATTGGTATTCTGCTATCTCTTTGGAAATGTTTTCTGTACTTTGTATTGTCTACCGTTGCTTCTGGATCATGATTCTCCCATGCACGAACTAATCTTCAGTGGCTAGCTCTTTGCTACAAGTCAGTCTATCCCCGCGACTGTGAGCAGCTTGAGAGGCCGATGTCATTAGTTGTGTAATAGAACAACGACATGGCGGGCACGAGAGGACAGTTCCATATTTTGGCTGTGGCATGTACAGTTCCACCATACCTTTAATCTGTGTAAACTCCTAACTCAGCCCACAAATAAGAAAGTGAGCAATCAGAAACTAAATAGGCTAGAATAAGGAGAGGGGCGTTTTGGAGCTCGAGCTCAGCTGCACCCATAATCTGAGTCGTCGATATCTGCCTTGGGATGTGAACAAAACCTGCTGTGCTGTCAGATACGAGCGTCGCATAAATAGGGAATCTCGGAAATACAGTAGGGAACAGTGTGCAATACGTGGGGTCGGGGCGACACAGACGGACGGACGGCGCGACTGCTCGGTCTGGGCCGTGGATCAGCACGTTGGGTTTCCATCTAGCCCGTGGACCAGGAAGTTACGTTTTCTAGCCTGGGCCTTGGTCCAGATAATGGGTCCTGGACGGTGCGCGGATTCTGCGCCATCGTGCCGGTCCAAGGGTAACGACCCGTGCGCACGGGCAACAACAAAAAAAAGATTTGTCCATCCCCTTCCCCCAGCTCGTTCTGGAAGAGCCGTGACCGGCGGCGTAACCTAGAGTGCGAGCGACTTGAATGCGCTACTGCTGCCGGGCGGTGCCGGGCGGAGTTCCTGGTCGGCGGTCGGTGCGTTTGCAAGGCAGGATACCGAACTATGGAGGCGGAGGGAATGGAGTTCCTGCTCGACGCGGTGGATAGGTAATTTCCGGGCAGATCTCTGCATTTTTGGTTATCCTTTTAATTTTTCTCGGCCTGCACTACATACGAATCTGACCTCTATTTCCGGCTAATCGACTTTCCTCCCGCAGATTTCCCGCAAGGGAAGAATTTGCGGACAGCCTTGAGCACCCAGATCTAGTGCCGCTCCTGTATCTGCTGCAGAATGGGGAAGCAACTGAAGATCGCGTTGAGGCCAATGGGGAATCTGGGCTAGCTCGGGTGGACGATGAGGGCGTAGGTGCAGACCGACCACATGGTGAACGTCGTCCCCGTGCTGAATCTCTGACGAGGTCTGCCCAGTCAACTGATAGGGTGAATCCGCAAGCCCCCGGGTGGACAAAAAGGTAAGAGCACGTGATCTCCTCCCTTGGTCTTTGTCATTGAACAGATGAGTTCTCATGAGCATCACATGTATGTGCGAAATGTATAGACTGAGATAGAAAACAACCAAATAGGTCCTGAATGATGTCATGATCACTGTTGGTCGATTGAGCAATACCTCTTGAAAAATAACCTGAATTGAAGGAGCAGCTATTTTTGCAACTGGTTTGTAGAATGTAAAATACACCTGATGGCGTTGCAATATTGTTGGCAATGACAAAAAATAATTCAGATAGCCATGTTAGGAAAATGGAAGTTGACAGCAGAGATGTCTTCCTATTATGGTGATAATATGAAATCAGTGAAAACCGCGTCAATTGGCATATCATTGAACCATACTTCTGTTTGTGTATATTCTTTTTTGCCGATGTGCGACATGGAAATGAAATAATAATGAGAATGGAGAACTAGGTAGATGAAGCGTCGCATCTCAGTTAAAATTTGGATTGAGTGGATACTGTTAACGTTTACTTTTGTGCAAAATTCAGGCTACGCCTAGGAAGCGCGCCGCCCGACCGAGTCCCGTGCCCCTCAAGGATGAGTGCTCTAGAGATTTCTATACGCAAATATGCAGAGCAGCCTGACAAGAGTGTCGTTAGGCCTGAACTGGGGCTCAGTTTCGATTCGCTAGGCGAGGCATATGACTTCTACAACCTATATTCTTGGGAAGTCAGTTTCGGAATAAGATATGGAAAGAGCAGACTCAACGCCGAGCGAACTAAAACCATGTAGGAAATTGTTTGTGGTTGCTTGGTGAGTTCGTAATTTGATTCCAGCAAATAAAATTTTAGATACTAGTGTGTGTGAGCAAGATTTCGTCTGGGACATGGTGCACTGCTGACTGTTGACATGTCTTCCTTTGTGGTGTGTAGGGGAAACCTGAATCCAAAAATAGTAGGTCCTGCATATGTGAGTGCCCTGCTCTGATCAGGCTGCTGCGTGCATCGGACAACAGCTGGTACATAACAGAGCATCGAGCGAGTCACAACCATTCGATGTCTTTGACAATGGGAGAGAAGGTGCACTGGCCTTCTCATAAGCACATTGATGTATACACCAAGGATCTGATTAAGCAACTAAGGGAGAACAATGTTAACCTTGGTAAGGTTTACAGCATTATTGGGAGCTTCTTTGGGTCAGTCGAGAAGGTACCTTTCACAAAAAGGACGTTGAGAAACATTTGTGGGAAGATTAGCCATGAGCAAGCTGAGGACGATGTCCGGAAAACACTTCAAGCCTTTGCTGACATCTAGGCGAACGATCCAGGATTTACGTATGTAGTGTTGGCAGAGAAAGATAGCAAAATCAGAAACCTCATGTGGGCTAATGGCAGCAGCCGGATGCAATACAAATTCTTTGGTGATGTAGTTACATTCGACACGACTTACAGGACCAACCTGTACGATATGCCATTTGGGCTATTTGTCGGAGTTAACAACCATTACCAGAGCATCATACTGGCAGGGGTTTTGATGCGCGACGAACAAGAAGAGAGCTTCGAATGGGTGTTCGAAGAATTTGTACGGATGATGGGCGGGCCAGCGCCGAAGACAATACTCACAGGTATTGTGGGCGTGGTGCGAATCTTATTTGTCCTTATCCTTGTAACCTAGGACGTTGTGTTGACAGAAAAAATGACATTCACCAACTCATAATTGTGCAGTTGATATGTCTGATTCAAATCTTCTTATTTTGTTCACAGATCAATGCAGAGCCATGGAGGTTGTAATCAAGAAAACTTATCCTGATACAGTACATCGTTGGTGCAAATGGCATGTCCTAAAAAAGGCGAAGGAAACACTAGGACCACTATACACCAAGAAGAGTGACTTCCAGGCTGAATTTCACAAAGTTGTGAACCACATGCTAACTGAAGAAGAGTTTGAATCAGCCTGGCAAGATCTCCTCGACAAGTACAATTTGAGGAATCATAACTATATGACCCAAATTTATGAAACCAGAAAGAAATGGGCGAAACCATATTTCCGGGGTGTTTTCTGTGCAAAAATGACAAGCACCCAAAGAAGCGAGAGCGCAATCCACATGCTGAAATCATACATGCCACCAGCCAGCCCAATGCATGTTTTCGTCCGGCAATACATGAAACTGCAGTTTGATCGAGAACGGAACGGAAGCTACGAGGAGAAGAGGACTATGATTGTAAGTAGCTTCATGCCGTACACAATATGCTGATCTTGGGTCGTTGCGTCGTCTGGGGACTTAGTGGATGAGATTCTTATGTATACTGCTGTGTTTTCATTGCAGGGCGGTGCTGTCAGACGTACTAACCTTGCTATAGAGCGTCATGCCAGCAAGGTTTATACAAGGAGCATGTTTGAGGAATTTGGACGACTACTTATCGAAGCAACATCATACAATGTTACTAAGGTGGAAAAGAAGAGGAAGTACATCACCACTCACAACAATGCGGCGAAAAGAGAGAAGTGGAGCAGAGTTGAATATGAGGTTACCATTAACGAGGACGAATCAAAATTCACCTGCGAGTGCGGCCAGTTTGAGCACACGGGGATGTTGTGCAGCCATGCATTGCGGGTAAAAGAGCCATAAAACACGTAGTGTTTAATATAAAAAATCCAGTAACTGAAAAAACCCTGACTAGCTAGTGGTTTTTTCTCGTGCAGGTTATGGAAATTCTGCATGTAGAAGAAATCCCTAAATGCCACGTCGTAAAACGGTGGACAAAGGACGCAAGAGACATACTACCAGGTCACCTAGTCCAGTACCAGAGAGACAATTCACAGAACATGTCATTCACTTGTAGGCATGCGACACTATACTTCAAAGCCATGGAAGTCGTGCGGATGGGTGACGCAAGTGCAGCGTGCTACGAGCATGTCAATGCTGCACTTGATTCGGTGATTCAGAGTGTAGCGCCTTTGCCAGAGAAACGTGATGGACTGGCTTTTGAGGATCGCGTGATTCCAACGACTGATGTCAGGATATCTGCCAACAGCGAGCAAGAAAATGCTGAACGAGAGGCCGACCATTGCGCAAGTGCCGGAAATTCATTCAGCACGAATGCCATGCAGTGCCTCACAGCTCCAGAGAAGCGTCAAGGTCCTGGCAGGCCTACGAACAACAGGGAGAAGGTGCCGTATGAAGGACTGAGTAAGAGAACAAGGTTCTGCAGCATATGTCGGTGCGAAGGGCACAAGAAAACGACATGCCCAGAGAGAGGGGATATGCCGAAAAAGCCACAGAAGCCTGGTAAATGCAAAAACTGCGGAATAGAAGGGCACCGACGAACGACGTGCACGAGACCACTAGGGTTTGCAAAGAATTGATATAGGTTTCTACGCTTATGTGTTTTTCGAGATGGTTTGTAAACTATGGTAGAGTGGGACGCACACGATTAGTGCTGAACCCTTGTATACCGCTCTGCTGAGGTTTTCTGTGCTTATCGTCCGGGAAACTTGTTTACTAATGTGCTGAAGTTAGAAAACTGAAATTGCTATTGGCTGTAACATTAATAATAAGTTGCTTAGTTGGTCGTCTGTGTCATACGGATACATTTTTGCTTACAGTGGATGGCGACATAAATGGTGGCCTGGATAGGCTTACGACTTGTTTGCCTCTCGACGGCAAAGTCGCAGCGTTAGCCTGTGGTATCTATGGCCGTAGCAACCAATTCAAAATTCAAAAAAGGTACCGTATGCAGGGAAAGGGCGCCCTTGGAGCTGGCAGATGGCACGGTATAAATAGGAGGCCAAGGCTGAGGTGGTACACTTCAGACACACCACTTCCCACAGTGCAGTTCGAAAAATTTCAAATCGCCCGCCTGCGTCCGATGGGAGGCTCAGTCGCTGAATCGAGGAGTAGTGGCACAACCAGAGGCGAGGGGCATAATGTGTTCCTCCACCTGATTACTCCTGTGAGTTCCTCAGATCTTTTTCTGAAAAATTGTTTTGTAATCTATGCATATGCTTCAGCCGCGCATCAATTTCTGAAGGGAGCAAGAAACTACATGTTGCAGCCTTCATCTCCATCGCCGGCGGAGTCCGTATCTACCGCCTGGAGCACGACACACCAGCCAGATGATTTGGAGCTCGGGAATGGAGAGGTCAGCATTTCAAACTGTACAAAACTGTCGCGTAAACAACTGAACCTTACATCAATCCATTCTTATACAGTTATGTCTCGGTTCTCTTTAGGGGGAGGTCGTCCAAGACGATGCGTTTTACGAGCAGCCTCTCGTTCATGGTTTGGATGCCATGGTGGGGCAAGAACCCTTGAAAGAAGGGTTTGGCGATTACGATCCAACTGCTGCTCCTGACTCTCCTCGAAGCACTGGTAGCTCTGCCGTCGACGACGAATCTGGAGTTGTTTGTGGAGGCCATGTTGTAGACACTGAAGATGAAGAAGACATCATCAGCATGCCGCCGAAACGCCATCGTATTTGAGAGTAGAAAATGTAGCTTGAGGACAAGTGCTACTTGATTAGTCTGGCAAGGAGATGACGGTGATTTAGTTCATAGCAGGCGTTCCACTAGGTTCATCACTGAATGTAGAATGTAGTTTCCCGTTTCGTGTTCACTCATTATCCGTCAGTAATGTTGAACTCCACGGGTCATGTGCTGGGAGTACGGGGGATAGGGCATGGTATGGGGCCGATCTATATTTTTTGCCTGACTTATTTCTCCTTGTCGTGAAGCTGCATGTGTTCTTGCGGGTCAATAAATATAATTGGAAAAGGGACCGAAACGGGCAGCGGGTAGAGAACCCATGATATAAAATTAGTTGGTCCGATTTGCCTCGTGGTGTGAGTGGGAGAGATATCTCGTGAAATGCAAAAAAACATAATAAATGCGTGGGTGGGTGGATGTTGGCAGCAAGAGGGAGGACCGCTGCTCCCGTTTATTCCTTCCCCTTGGCATTGACCGCACTGAAACAGTGAATGAACTGTTCCGACCGGGGAGCATTTCAGCTAGTACCGGTCTGGTTCGGGAAAAAAGGACATGTGTACATCTCCTGTGTCCGTCCACTATGGGCAGCTTGCGCAGGTGGGCAATTTTAGAAACCGGGTTCAGATGGACCACGTAGTAAACAACCTGAATAAATTTTAAAAAAGTGAGCATATACACTCCGTGACAGGTGATATTTTGCAACGGGGTCATGATCCCAGGAGGCAAGCTACGTCCACGGTGTGGTACGCTAAATTCATCCCATGGCGAACCGTGCACCACTCCAAAACGCGGCAACCATGACCATCGATTGCAGAAAAATTCGTAGTATACATGGCAAAAAATGCTGCTTTAGAAATTTTTGGGCGGCGTGGGAAGCTAGTAGTAAAGATGATTTGACCTCTCACTGTGGTAAGGGGGGTGAGAGACAGCTCGTTGCCTCATTTACAAAAAGGCTACCCGGGCCAACGGCTAGAGTACTACTTTCTCCATCCCAGCTGCTTCACTTCCTCCTCCTGCACTGCTCCATCCCCCATAACCACTGTTGAGGAAGAACTAGATCTGGCGTCCGAGTGTTGAGATGACGACGAGATCATCTGCGCCCTGCAGATAGTGCTCAAGGTGAGGTTCCCCGGTTCGGCAGCAGAATAAGTGGCAACATTGCTTTCCGAGTTGCACTTTTCTCTTTTCTTTGGGCTGCACTTTTGAGGTTGATTTTCCATTGGTTGGTGGTGCTGCCCTTTTCTAACTCCTAATCCATGATTCCTTGGGTAGGGCATTGAGCATGGAACCGCCGGATCGTCCACGCAA